GATAATTTAGAAAACCTCTCGAAATTTACATTGTTATATGTATTTTCAGGTATTGTAGTATGTGTAGTGTATGTGGCTGTAGTATCATTGTTTGAGTAATTGATATTACTAAAGCAAGCTCATTTTTCAGGAACTTCACGCATTATTTTAATATTACTGGGCCACTTATCTTTAATTTCTAATAAAAATTGGGGGCCTTGCCATCATAGCTTGGCACTATGCATGCGTTGAGGGTCTAAGCCTACCTAGATTTTCAGCTACTGGTAGCTGATAATTGAGCGGATTTAGCGTGTCTCCAAAACCCAGAAGAAATCAACTCCTGTATTTCTGAAATGCGATTGGCGACTAAAGGTTTTAAATCACGTGCCTTCAAGGATAACCAGTTAGCACTACTGAAGAGTCAATCCAATAATATAATTCTGAAATATTTTTAAGTCTCAAAGCTTTCAATACGGTTCAAGTTAATCGTGTTGCTAGTACCGCTTCGTACAGCTCTAATCGAGGTATTGTATGTTGTTTCAAGAGTGCTACTTTTGTTTTTGCGCAAAGTAAATAAGCTTTATGTGTTCTAATTGTCTATCAATCGTAGATACACGAAGCATATGCATTTTAGGAAGCATAACAAAAGGCATGGAGTTGAATGTTTTAGGGTTCAACACTAAATGCGTATCGGGGAATTTGAAACTTAAATAAATTTTCTATGTTTGTAATAAACTTGCTTTATCGGAAGATCTTCACTGTCACACCTGTTATGGATTAACAAGTACTTGGCGATAAATCTTCTCGATGTCAGCTTAAACGACACACTTGTGTTGTCTAAACCTTAACAATATTGAGAAAAGGTCATCTTGGACAACCGGATCAAAATACTGAATATCGCTTAAAGACCTAGCACTAAATGTTTGAGCATAGGCATCGAAGACTATTAGTAATTTTGTAGTTTCACTACTTTCTTTCATGACAAAACGAATAGGTAATTAACAACCCCGCGATTGACTTATCACTTTAGTTATATGCCCTAATCGTTCATACTCTTGTATAAATTGATTGTATTCGAATTGAAAAGGAGGGTCTCTTTTCATTTTTTTCTCCATTTGGAACAATCTTTTATCAGCTAAGCAGCTAGCTTGGTTGTAAGATTCGCCCAATACACCTGGAGAATCACGAAAAGGTTGTTGCATGCAAAATCAACAATATCGCGATAGGTGGTATCATTGTATAATATCTCACACTGATTTTCTTTGAAGGAAGCAGTGTCTGCAGGTTATTCCAAGTTCTGCAGGTTATTCTCAAGTTCCCAGTATTTCGGGAGTTGCTGTTGAATTGCTTTACTAAAATTACATACAATCTGGTTTGTATTATTGCAAAATTTCCCCATTTAAGGTCCACTTTCAATTCCAGTTGGGTTTCTTGCAAAAAAGGTTTGTTTGGGCCTAAATTTAATCTAGACACTCTGATTAATTCCCAAAAAACGTCGTTGCCTAAGAGCATTTCGATCTTAGATGGATTGTAAAAGCTCCTGTACTTGAGCTCCTCTCACTATTGCAAACCGATGTTATTATTTGTTATCTAAGCGCGAACATACTGTCTGCGCCACAGTGTTCGGCACGGCGCTGAGCCTTACTGCTTGCCTCTGATTCAAGGCACTTTCGCAAATTACTTGCCTTGACTACATGGCAAGTCCAGGCACTTATACATTCATCAACAACTAGACTGCACTATCGACCTCCAGTATGAGCAAAATGGTGATGTGGCGGCGCTGTCGTCACGCCACAAACGAAACGCACCGAAGCCTTAGTCGCGCTCTCAAAATTCTAAACCAACGGCTTATATATAGAACAACTCCGAAATAACACACGTAGCAATGATATCTTCACGGGCTCAATACCTTGCCTGGTGGGAGATCTTCCCTTTCCTTTCCCCGATCAAATATGTACCGACTTATGAGTTTAAAATCAAGTCAATAATTTCTAAAAATTTCGTCACAACCAGCTCGAAAATGAAACCAAAACGCATTCCGCCTTATTCCAAAACGCGGACTAAATATGGTACTGGAGTTAGTACCAGGTTTAAACCATAACTAAATAAAACGTTATTCCAAAACGAAGATTATCTCTGGTTCTAGGACTACCTATGGTACTAAAGTTAAACTTCCGAGACCCCTAGTTTAACTATGGTACCAACCTCAAATTCAGCACTTCTTTATTTGACGTTAGCGACCGTTGTTTTCATTTCGTGTTTTTAATCGTTAAAAATGGATATAAACATGATTGACTTGATGGATTTAGAAGATTTGGACATGCTAGAGTCCACTCGGCGACCTGATAGACATCGTCAACTTGTGAATCCTTTTGAATTGAGTGACGAAAATTTTAGGTATAAGTATAGGTTCTCAAAACGTTTCTGTAAAAAAATTGTGGATCTTTTACGTGAGGATTTAGTGCACGACTCTCGAGGATGCCCACTGAGTCCTGAAATCCAAGTAGTTTGTGCATTACGCAACTGGGCTCGCCATGAAATAAGTGCTATTTAATAATCTTGGTCAATGTATCCAACATAACGCTAGATAAAAAGCCAAAAAATACATATTATTGTTTTATTCGTAGATTCAAGACGATACAGGTGATTTACATGGTGTGTCTCAACCAATAGTCAGTAGGACATGTAAAAAAGTAGCGGAAATTTTGTCACGAATGTCCCGAGAATTTATTAAAATGCCTACCTCTTTAATGAACAACAGGAAACCACTAGGAAATTCCGCAGTATTGCTAATTTTCCGACAGTAATTGGCGCAATTGACTGTACTCACATAAGAATAAAGAAAGTAAATGCTAATGGGGGTCAGTTATATATCAATAGAAAAGGATTTTCTTCAATTAATGTACAGGTAATGTACAAATATTTTAAATAAGCTGTGATTGTCTCTAAATTACTTTACTTTACCAAAATAGAAAATAATTTGTTTGACTATCTTATGGCAAAAAATGTAGATTAATCTGTTACAATTTTGGTGCACAATAAAATATAACCAATCTATATCAGTAAAACAAAGGACTAATGAGCTCTCACTTTTCAGGTGGTTTGTGATGCTAACCTGAAAATCATGGACATTATTACTAGGTGGCGTGGCAGCGTACATGACTCTAGAATATTCCGAGAATGTAGACTAAAACAGAGGTTTGAGGCTGGTGCATTCTCTGGAATATTACTTGGTGACAGTGGCTATCCTTGTACTCCATACCTATTTACACCACTGCTGAACCCAACAACACCACAAGAAGAAAGATATAATAGGAGTCATATCCGTACCAGGAACATGGTGGAAATTGGTTTATGGAAGCAACGGTTTCGTTGCCTATTAAGAGGTATGTTTGGGGACATTGAAACAGCAAAAAAAAAACAATTGTTGCATGTGCTGTACTACACAATATTGCCATAGACATGAGAGAAGATGTATTTTCTGGTGAGGTAGATAGCACTGAACAATATTCATCTGAACCTATAGTACAAAGATATATTCCACCATCAATAAGGGGAAATATTAGGAGAAGACAGTTTATTGAAAATCATTTTCAGTAGGTAAACATTTTTTTACAATTTTTATATAACAATCCATAATTAAAATTTATAATTTATTATTAAATTTATAAAATTATTACAATTTTTCAATTGTCAAAGGCTATATGTACATTTAATTTATTTTATTTTGTAATTTAGGGGCCAAGCTTCATTGAATGAAAATAATGTAATAAAGAGGTCAATAAATATATAAGACAGTTATAATAATTATTATATTTTGATTTCAGACATAATACTCATTTATAAAGGGAAATCTTTCTGCTGAGCCGTTGTCAGCTGTCAAATAATAACAACTATATATTACAATTTTCACCAATATGGAATAAATCACGGGAAGTACTGTGATAATATTTAATTTATTGAGCTAAATGCTTTTATTTAAGCCATAATGATTGTGTTTCAGGGAAAGATGTGGGGTACAGCATATTCCACATCAATATGAAGCTATGTTTATATAGACTTAAGTGCTGTAGAGATCTGTTTAGATTTTGTAATGAATATTGTCGCTCTGCTACATTCACAGCTGGATTTCCTTTGCAGAGGTGCAAGGGTTCACAGGAAGTAGGACTGTGTGATAATTAAGTAATTAGGTTTATTTAATAAAATAAATATTGTTTATAATTATTTATTTTAATTATTAATGAAAGATGTACAGATATTTGCAGCAATAAGTACCTGAAAAGAATAATTTCATATATCAGAATATTTACAAACATGTATCTGATATAGTCTTGAATATTTAGTTTTTTTTAATAGGATGATGGTGACAAACGAGCACACAGTTCACCTGATGGTAAGTAGTTGCTGGCACATAGACATCTACATCTATCCTCGACTATGAATCAAAATGAAGATGCGTTGTTACCTGTGAGGGCTAAAATGGAATTCCTCGTTTCCAGTAAAAGGGGTCTCTTTTACAAAATTTGTCAATAAAAGTTTAATGGCCAAATACTCCTTGTGGTGTCACATTCACTTTGACTTAGTGATAGAGATAGCATGAGACTTAACTGCATCTTAAAAGTGAGTAGTGTTAAAGTATTTGGGCATAAATGTTTTACTAAAGAAAAATTATATAAAAAGGGTAATTATAATATCAAAGAATACATAAATGAAAATAATGCAAATGACGCTGCTATGCTGTTTCTATTAAAATTAATTTAAAAATTGTAAACCAAAATTTGTAAAGTGAAATATGTTTAAAAGAAAAGTCCCGCTGGGTTTCTTGCTGGTTCTTCCCAGGACAGAGGTATTTTCCAAACCAGTGGTGAATAAAAAATGTCTTTTGAATAAATGTTATGTAATAATCTATATTGAATAAAACTCATTCTATTCTATTCTATTCTGGTTCTATACACTCACCATATGAAACACAGTAGCACTTCTTGTATTTTTTTGACTTTCTAACAAAGATATTTGTAATTCTAATTTTTTAATTTGGCTATTTTAATGTTGTATTTATGTTCCTCTTCCATCATTTCTAGTTGTCTTTTTTTAAAATCTGTATTGCTTTTTATGATTGTTTGCTGTATATCTTCTCTTCTGTAAAATGAAATAGAATACTTAATGTAAGTTTTTTTTTATGTACTAAGTATTATGAAGTAATAAAAGTATGTACTACAATGGAAGTTAACCTTTTAGGCAAAAGAAATATATATATAGTTATTTTTCAATCAATTTATATTAACTTTGCTTTTTAATATTTGAAAATATGAAACATTTTTAGTATTTAATTAAATACTAATTTTCAAATGTTAAAAGGTATGAGATGTATTAAAGTAATTATTTCAACATACCTATTTCGCAAGCCCCTTTTCCTGTCTTTTGTTTTTGTAATGCCCCTTGTATTAGCAGTTTCATTGTTGGTTATTTTCATTTCTGTGTCCGTAGTTGGATCGTTTGATATCTCTAAAAATTAATATAAATAAAGGTTATAGTAAATTAAACATGTTTAATATTGAGACAAATTTGTGTATTACATAATGTGATTGTAACTATAATAATAATATATTTTGCTTTTCAATAAATAATCAATAATTATTATTTACCTTGCACCTCGACATTGAGTTCTGGATATTCTATGTTTATAACTACTGGTGTGTCATTTTTATTAAAACTAAGGCAAGGCTTAGGGTCAGCAAACATTTCTTTTGTAGTTGTAGCCGCAGTCACTGGATTCTAAAATAAATCACTAAAACATTTATTATCATGTTTTCCTGTCATTACCTATATAATATTTCCCTTAACTGAATCAGGTATTTTATACGCTGTGAAAATATTACGATCGAGGCAATAGGTAATACAAGTTATTAATTATAAAATAGAAAATTATAGTCGACCAGTGTAGATAATCTAGTAAGATGTATGTTATGATATATAAACCACTATGTATGAATTTATGACATTTCAATTTTGAATTAGAATGAATTAATTGAAAAGAAGTTATTACATACGTATATTAAGTTTTGAATATTTGAAAAATAATTTTGTATTGTAAATTGTATGCCTTAATGGCAGATTATTTATACAATTAAGTAAATATATTTAGTATACAAAATAAAGTTATTTCATTTTAATTAAATGTGTAAAACATAAGTAATTCTATTTACCACTGCATCACTATCATAATCGTTAACTTCAATGACAAAGTCGTGAGGAGCAATTGCCATAATTTGTAAGTCCTCAGGAGTAGGTGATAGTGGTTTTTCGCCACCCCCTGTTTTTGATCGTTCCCTCCTCCTATATGTACATACGTTTGATTTAGCCGACAACTTCATCCTCTTCCAAGCTAACTTCAATTCCCCATCTGATCGGCATTTACCTGTTATCTCATTAAATCTAAAATAAAAGAATAAATCTTGTAAACAATACCGTGGCTACTTGTACACAACAAATGCAATAAGTACTTACTTATTAGTTATATTCTTCCACTCTTTTATTTTTTTCATGTTTACGCACGTTTTCGTCGACTTATCTTCTAAAATAGGTGATGATTGAGCAATAAAAGTACGTAATATTTCCCATAATAATAAGAATATTCTTTTTAGTCGAAATAAGGATGATATGAGGATAAGAGCGTTGCTACGCACTAACAAATAAATTACGATGTTTCGCTAACTTTTTTTTCTGAACTCCAATTTTCACCCCTTTTTTTCTTTTGTTCCATTATTATAAATATAGATCCAAATAATCCAAATAAAACCTTACTATCTGCAATACCACAATACTGAGATCAATGCAATGTATTAAAATAAGAGCATTTACTTATTATACATAAGGACGCAACATAAAAATTTTGAACGTTTTTATTCACGCGCTCGCGGTACCTATGTAATTTACTCCATTTCACGGTAGAGTCGTTAAAATGAAAACGATTATAAAAAGCACTTTAATAAAAGTATAAGTCGTGATTGTTCAATAGATTTTTACCTAAAGAAATAACAATATGTTTTTGTATTGATGGATAATTATTTAAGCATAATTAAGTGTGAAAATAATATTAATATTTAACGAAACAGAACGTTGCATTGAATGAAACCTGTAGGAACGAATGAAAGAATGTAATTTCTTGTTTCTTATCTGTGGATGATATTTAAACCACGACGAATTTTGGTACTAACTAGTCCACGGATAGTCTGCGTTTTGGAATAAGAATACATTTTGATACGGGTACTAAAGTTAATACCGTAACAAACCTGGATCTGTTAGTCTTGGTTTAAACCAGGACCAAAACATTTTTTTGGAATAAGACCGATTAAGTTTATCTTATCACATATAGGGCCTACTATTTGGATGACTTTGGGGTTGTGACATTCCTTTGTCAAAGTCGACTTTTTTCAACTATAAAGTTGATTATTACCTTAAATGAAAAGAAACTTTTTTTAATTTAAATATATTAAAAAACTACAAAACAGATAATTACATTACCACTATCCAAAGGTATATTCTATATAAACGGAAATATGTATATTCTTACGCTATCTTACGTTATTCATTTTTTTTGGATCTAATCCTCCATTTTTGCAAAGAGACTATCTTAAGATTATTTAAAAGCTTTATCACACAAAATAAAAGTATTTGAAACTGAATATTCAAAAGTATATTTAGAAGTGTACTAAAGATTTTATTACAAGCATTAAGTCTTACTCCAGAGGACAGCTTAGTAGGACTTCGTAATTAAAATTCGTAAGTAAATATTCAAGTATTATTACAGAAACAAGTGGCAAACTCAAACATTTTGTACAACCGACTTCAATATAAATAAAATTGTCGATCGAATCGTAGTCGAAGTCAATTAAATACGCATTATTAAGCATAACTCAAAAACAACTGGTCAGATCTTGATAAAATTTACATGGGACCACATGAAAAGCATCAGTTTTCAAATAAAAAAGTAATTATCAATATCGGTTCACCTAGAAACAAGTTCTGTAACACAAATAACACATAAAAAATACAGTCGAATTGAGAACCTCCACCTTTCTTCCAAGTCGGTTACAAAGAACAAATGAAAAGGTGAAACACAAATATGAAATAAAGTTTTAGTGTGATTTTTTATACTGTTAATTTATGTAGATGATTTTTCAGATCGAAATAATCCATTAGTGAGCTGTAATCCTGACATTTTTGTACTACAGAACTACATCACGAGTCTCATCTGATGGCATGTGTCGATCGTCGCCCAAGAACAACTGCAACACGAACAATTTTTTTAATCGCGCGAGTACTTCAAATTGAATAACTACGAGTACTAGTTATTTAATAAAATTAATTTTACGGATTTTATCGCGTTTAATTTTTACTTTTTTTATTATCGACGTTTCGGGCCGTTGCGGGGGGAATGAGGTATTTGACGTCCTGATGTTATAGTTAACGAAAGCTACCTTCAACTTTTAAACTCAAAACGAGCTTACAGTAAATCCAAACCCAAGCATACTACTGCAAAACTTCGAGGTACTGTAAGCTCGTGCGTGCAAATGATTTAGGACCGTATATTGTGGAATTCCTTGGAGAGTACCATGTTCAGCTGTAGTCTTGGAATAGGCTGTTATGCTGATGTAATAAAAAGTATGTAGTATGTATTATTTTTAATTACTATCATGTGAGCCGTATTGCTCGTTGCTTCTTCTCCCACAAAAAATACAAATATTGCTCATCGGATATAAATAACTTCACATTAGTTTATTTATTGGATGCTATTTTTAATATTGTATAAATGTAATATAAATATCCTATCATGAATATCATGAAGCGAATAATCAATCCGTGATGACAGGAAATAACGCACACTGATTTCGAGCATTGGGATGAAATTGCGGTTGGAACACATGTGAGGCAATTTGAAATTTCCATACCGGAAATGAGTATAAACACATATGTTGGCAATTAACTGTTGTTAACATAAGCCTTGGCATATGCTTATCTTTATTTTAAATTTTGACTTTTTCTGGGTAAGATCTTTTACTATAGTCTTCGGTCGTATCGGTTTGCTATCACGTCGGCCTATGATATATCGCTGTCGTATAAGCTTGCGCATCAACTTCAGTACAATCATCGTCGTGAAAGGGTGGCTAGTCTTTGTTGAGGCTGACCGCCGTGACAGAAATCCGGTCTGAATGACATTGTAATACATAAGTTGTAATTTGGACCTAATTATGTTACTGTAGTCTAAAATAACAAAAAATGAAACGTAAAATTAAACTATATATTTTTGAAGAACATGGTCGACAGAGAAGCACAGAGTCCACGAGATGGTAAGTGGATGCTGTGTCCTATAAACATTTAAATTTATCCTCGATTAAGAACCAAAATGCAGATGGGTTGTCGCCGCTGAGTACTAAGATGGAATGCCTCGTCTCCAATAAGAGTTTTCCCGGTACTCAACACACACCACACGAAACATAGCAACAAGCTGCTTTTTCACGCTGTTTTTTTTTTTTTTTTTGAGAGCATAGTCCTTCCCAGTTGGACCGACAGATTCGTGCTACAAACACAATATAGCTTCTGAATGGCTCTACCACGTGAAAAAATAATTTGTAATTATTTGCTTCATACTCAGAAAATTATACAAGATATTTAATACTTATTATTATCTTAATTGTACACAAGAATTTACACAATTTTTATATACAACCTCATTTTAAATCCACAATTATAAAAATGTTGATTAATGTAATTAAAACGTGTAAGCTAGTAGCACGTAGCATCGCTGACTTATAATTAAAGTTCTCACTTCATTAACACTATGTAGCTATTAGAAATTCGTTGCTTATCTCGTTGAAAAATATCCTGGATTTTTAAAACTGATTTAGCTTACAAAAATTAAACAAGTTTTTAGTAATTTATAAAAGATTAATTTTATTGTATTTTCTTTGGGCGCACGACATTTAACAAATGTTTAAAAAATTGTTTTTGTAGTTTCCGTTAAGTGTGCTATAACTTTTCAGAATTAGTATTCCAATCTATTTATAATTGACACGTGCGCCGTTGAAGCATGGTGTTTGACCCTTGCTTCCGGACCAAGAGAGCAGAGCTAATAAAACCACATACAATTTGCATATAAAAGTTTTATATATAATTTATTTAATTATTGTATAATAATAATATTAATATAATACAATTGAGTATTGATTCTGATAACGCATTTACGGGAAACCACAGGATTTTTGTTACAAGTTGTATAATCGGTATCAACTGCCAATAGTGGCAACTATATGTTTCCAAGTTTACAATCTTTACCATTACAAATACATAAATGTTCATCACATGACAATTAACCTCTGCAGTTGCAGGATGAATTTACCTTAATCATCACGCTATGCATCACAATTAAGGCAAATTAACAGTACGTGCACGTGGTAGAGCCACGCTACAGTTATATTGTGGATGTAACACGAATAGGTTGGAACGACCGGGGTGGGACCACACTCTCACAGAATGCCAGAGTAAAATTACAGCATAATGCTGCTATGTTTCGTTTGGTGACTGTAGAAAACTGGAGACCTTTTTTACTGGAAACGAGACATTCAATCTTTGTCCTCAGGGTTGTCACCGTATCTGCATTTTAATTCTTAATCAAGCGCGTTCGTTTGTTACTCTTATTTTATAAAAAAATCTCTGCCGTCGCCGGTTTAAGTATTGTATCTTTAACGTAAAAGAAATTTTACACCTGAACAAATATTTGAAACAACACTCTGCACATAAATCTCATGATGCATTTGGCACTTGACCATATCGTTGAAATTGTTATTGCACCGCAATATTAAAGATTTTATTACTTGAGCAGGGTGTGGATAACGAGCACGCTTTTCCTAATTCAACGACTTGTTGTTTATTATTAGCTACAATAATAATATGACATCTCAGTAGCATAGTGACTAAAGAGAAGAGTTCGGCTGCGACGCTTCAGGACGAGGCTTAAACGTAGAATAACTATTAATATTATTTAAAGATACAGCTTATATGTATGTCTCAATGCTGTGCACAGGTCTCCTCTCATTTCTGCGAGGGTTTTAGGGCATGAAAAAGTTCGACGCGCTACAACAATGCGAACCTCACGTGTCTTTGAAATATTTGTTTCTTATTTTTCAGACATACAGGCTACCTCACAATGTTTTCCTTCACTGGCGAGCACTTGGTCAATCAGCGTTTAAATTGCAATTTATAATTTCTTTAATGCTGGTGGGGATCGAACCCGGACTATTCGCGCACTATGAAATTAACAGCGAGCGCTTCCCTGTGCTACCAGAGCTCTTTATATGGCCTAAAAATAATTGTTCCTAGTCTGGATGTTTATTACTTACGAATACATACACACATAAACTCTAAAAAGTCCCACTCAGTTTCTTGCTCTTCTTGCCAGAATTTTTACCGAATGAGTGATAAAAGTCTAAAATACTTTGAATAATTTCTGTAATCTAAATTGAATTAAAGTTGTTCTATTCTATACTATTCAACTATCACGCCTGTCACTCAGACCAGACCACGGACTTTCCATTTGCATGGTTCTGGCATACTTCTCTTGCTTCTTTTACATCCATAGATTTACGCACACATGCTCATTGGTTAAGGTACTCTTAATTTATTTCATCTGAAATTTATGTGACGTTATTTAGATTTAAGATTATTAAACATTTGTTTTTATAAATTTTTCATTTATAAAAAATTTCTTCAAGTTTTTCGGATAAAATATACTCCTGATTACACCTGATATAGATCTCTATTTGTTCGTGAAGTTTCACTACAATCCTTTCAGACAATCCAAGGATTAGCCCGGCCAGATAAGCAGACCGACAGAAATACAGACACAAAAATTTGAGAAATTGTTATATGTATCTTAATGGTAGATACAAGATAGTTAATAGATAAAAATAGTTAACATTGATATTATGCGTTCGTTTGTATACATGTACAGAAAACCAATATCCTATTTCTATTTTGGCCAGTCCAGTTGTCTGACCAATGGGTAAAGTCCTCACAGCTTTCTTTAGTTTTCTGTAACATTTTATCGTAAATACAACTAGCAATTTCGTTCAATCCTTCATAGATATTTGTTTTTTTTACGAATAGCATGTACCAATAATATCAAACACTGAAAACTTATAATAATCGTTCACAACAATAAAATAGACTGATTTCACCACTAGGAGTCAGCAATACCTTTTGCAAATAAAATGTAGCGTAAAATATTTTAGGATTATTTTGTGAGTTGTGTTTGTCTTCCTGCTTTAAAGATCTAGATAAGTTTTTGTGCGATTTGAGTTTGGTGAAATGAAAGATTGACATTTTTATTAACTCTGTTAATGAACCACATTTGTTGTTATATTTATTTGAATTAAACCATTATTTGTATAAATTAAATATTCGAGTAAGCAAAGTTACTTGCCTTACCAGATTTAGCTAATGCAGTTCTTATTATTTTCGGTCCACAATGGGGAGTATTCAAAAACATCTGCTTCCAAACAATCAATTTTTTATTTTGATTGTTTTGAATACAAGACAAATGATAAATGTGTGAAAATGATCTACGCGATTCACCTTTTGGAATTGTACTTTTTTATTTTTTTAACTGTACATTTCACAGTATATTTCTAAATATACTGCTTAGAATTATGGAATGCATGAAAAACACATTATTAGAACATGAAATAATACTATTAAAATAATGATTTAATACTTCCAAAGCTCGGTGTGTATATTTTCGTAGTTTTCTTTTCTTTTATTTTTAGTTCTTTCTTTATTGTAAATATATTAAATATATATATATATATAAATAAGTTACAGCTTATATACGTCCCACTGCTGGGCACAGGCCTCCTCTCATTTCTGAGAGAATTTTTAGGGCAAGAAAGTGTCCGCCGCGCTGTCCCAATGCGTGTTGGCGAACTTCACATGTCTTTGAAATATTTTTTACTTATTCCTCAGACATGCAGGTTTTCTCACGATGTTTTACTCACCGCCAAGGACGTGGTTAATCAGCACTTAAAATTGCAATTATCAATTTCATACTCATCATAGCACTCATGGTCACGGGGGAATGAGGTGACTGACGTCCGGATGTCAATGTACCGGAGTACCTTCAGCTATTTTAATTATTTTAATCAAAGGCATTACTGATTGTGGTGGAACTTCAAGAAACGGAAACTTCTTTATTCAATATGGATTATAAATAATACTTATTGGAAGTCACTTTTTTACTCAACCCAGCGGGGATTTTTTTTAAATAACAGCTTACACACATGTATGTTACTATTAACAACAGCGGTCACTGTTCAATGTCCATGTCAACTAAATATAACCAAAGACACTTAAATGCAAGCAAGCATATGCGTGGAAAGTTCTCAATGTGCGTAGATCACAATACGGACGCCAATTAGAGCACGATATGCATGTTTTTAGTAATATAGCGTCCAATATTTATAACAACAAACACAAACAAATTGTATTTCAACTAACTGCAAAACCAAACATAATATCATAATTTAACAAAAATAGCCTTTCACAAAAATGAATCTAGTTAAGTAGAGAGTATTTTTGTACAGATTAGGTAAATAGTTCGCACTCATCCTTGAGATAGTGATCATAAAATGTTAACTCGCAGTGAGAGCGCCAAAACTCAATACGATCAAGTAAATAAATTATATTTTCGGAGTTATTGATGTCACCAACAATACGCCACGGTCTATTGTAGAAATTAACAACCCATTGGCAGTTAAGGCAGTAAAACCTTATATTAAAATGAGTTTCTTCCCAAGGTCATATTATGTTATTAGTCATAATATAAGAAAACGAACTTCTATTAAACCTGTCAATATCTACAATTAGTACTTATTTACAATTAGTAAAATAAATAATAATATAGTCAATCTATAATGTATCACGGCTGGGCGATCCTAGATATTTTTTCGTATTTACTAAACGAATAGCTAGTAGTAGTGGGTCATCCGTTCCGTTGTTATCATGATATCTATCTGTTTTTTTTTTCGCCGGAGACAAAAGTGATATTTCGTATTTTTCGTAACTGCACATTCTGTGGATTTATTTCATTATTTTGAACAATATACGAAACTTAAGTGACTAAAATTAAATCTAATCTGAACCAGAATCATAAAAACTGTATTATTCGTGCTAAACGAATCTAATAAAGATCTGTTATTTTTGTCTCCTGCGAAAAAAACAGACTATAGGAATCTATCGAATACCTACATAAACAAAATATCACGTAGAAATAAAATATTACAAAGCGGAATAACTAATAAAATTGGCAACGTCGCACCATACAAAGGAATTGCGTTAAGCAGGAGAATGAATTAAAAACTATGTATATTACGGGGATTCTGAATAATTTGTAATATGGAAGGGATTCCTGATTGGTTACCCTCCGTATGGCAATATACGAATATTTGTATATCGACATATGGTAAATTTTCAAAGAAATGATTTAAACACTGTCTTCTCGTCGTCAGTTCTTTGAGCTATATTTATTTTTTATTTTGTTTATGAAACACTAGAAGCATTATAAAAGGCTGTTATTCCTGGGTTAGTCGTAAATTGTACATATCTTTGTTTGACCGATGTAAACCAGCAAATTAATGAGCTCATCGCCCCTTGACGTACGTGACGCGACATAACGACCTGTCTGCGATAGATAAACACTACATAAACATCACATAAATTTTCATACGTGGTAGAACCACACTGCAGCCGTGTACTGTGTATGCTTGTAGTGTAAATAGTCG